ATATATATAAATATTTTGTATGACATTATCCAACACTAAAGATAGCGTTAGAAAATGTGAAAAGGAAATAGATAAAGAGATTAGAGGAAATCGTAGAAAGGCGTTCAGAGCACAAAGCATCCGCGCGCATTTTGAAAAAAATGATATTTCTTTTCTTCGCTCCTCAGAATTGGATAAACCAAGAAATTTGATTCAGTCTTATATTTTTCACATTAAAAATAAAAGCAAGGTATAGAAAACAAAAAAAAAGGATATAAAGATATTAGATGTATAAGAGATGTAACTGAAACAGGTCTTTCCTTTCATTTTTAGAGAGAAAAAAAAATGAAAGAAAAGATGGAAAGAAATGTTTTCCATAAACGTGTGAATTGTACGCTCTAAAAACGAGGAGAGAGAAGAAAATCAATTTTCGTTCAGTCTCCGATCTGTTTCTATCAATGAAGATTAATTTTAATTTCAGTTGAATTTATTCTTCAATTTTTTCTTACTGTTAGAACTAAAAAAAAAATGAAGAATAATTTCAACAGATTAAAGTTAATCTATGTTGATGAAAATATGAAGCTGCAGCGGTTTAAACGCTCATACGCTGTAATTAGCTTCTAGAATTGAAAAGAGATGAATAAATAAACAATGAATAAATTGAACTTCAGTTAAGAATTAACCATGAGTTATGGAATTGGGCCTAAATAGAAAACACATAGAATGAAGCTTCCTAGATAGTTAAGTCTATAGAGACAGATTTTAAGTATACTACCAATTTTTGATAGCAAAAAGATAACAAATTTCATATAAAGTCACGGACTATAGATTTGCAATCTGATTGAATTTAGTTACAAAATGCCCAAGCCGAATATATTTTCCTGAATATAATTTTCCTGAAGGAAAAACCTGAAGGAAAAACGGGCAAATAAACAATTCATTTTAAATAACAAAAACTGTGTTCCAAAATTTACTGTTAATATTGAAAATCTATATGTATGTACGTAACGTAAACTATAGTTTTTCAGTATAGCAGTAAATTTTAGAACACAACCATTTAGCATTATGTTCAGAAAAAGACGAAAAAAGCCAGATGGTATCATGTCCCAAAAAGGGATAATTATCAATTTTACAAAGAAAAGAATCCCATTCTTTAGGTTTCTTTTAGATAAACGCGACCGTATTAATAGCCATCAGTAGGTGCTTTCCATTTAGTGACACAAGTTGACATAAACATTATTATTCTATCTTTCTTGGTATTCAATAAGCAATAAAAACAGAACAACACTTGTATTGACTTGTATCACCACATATCGCACACAAAGGATCACAGCGGGGCATGAAATGATATATGTGTGCTTCGAATCTTTAAATTCTCTATTATCTAGAAGATATTGAAGCCTATTAATTCGATACTCTTTTCTAATGATACTTTCTAGCAAGAGATACAATTCGTAACAAAATGATCTTATTTTTTTAAGGATGTTTTTAACTGTATTTTTTTTTTATGTAAAATGTATCAATTAAAAGTTAGTTGAACAATCAGTCAAAATCGCATTAAACAAATTCTGATATTATTCCATGAAACTATAATTGTAAAAAATAAAACAAATAATTTGGATGATAATGATTTTATTCGAAATGATCATATTTTGTCACAGGTCAATAATTTTTGAACGAGTAAATATTCAAATAAAGTTTTGCGTGAATATTTGTTTTATTAGTATACGAGTACAGTTTTTTGTATACAAAATTTGATTTAATTCCCGACTTCTGATAGATTGCATTTCTTTATTCTTTCTATCGTATCTATATAAGTGTAAATATAGATATTACTTCTTTATCTTACTCACTTTTTATCTTACTCTACTTTTAGAATTAGAAAAAAAATTAATTAAACCGAGATTAAAATTAATCTATATATAGAGTGTCCCATAAATTTTTGCCAAGTGCTTTTATATAGATAGAGCAGATTGAGTCGAAAAATCCTCTAACATTTTGCAATTTTCGCAATGGTTAACGAGATATTAATTATTAAAAACAACTGAATATTGGTTTTCAATAATTTTTTATTCAAATATTATCAACTTTACAGAAAAACAGCGAGAGATAAAAATTGTATTTTTGTCTCTCGCTTCTCATAAAGTTTTGATTTTTTTCATAATTTTTTAATACTATCTTTTCTTATATATTGATAAAAAAAGAAAATGCAATATTAAAAAATTGATAAAAAATTCTAAAAAAATTCTTAGAGTTCTATGAGAAGAAAATAATTGATTTTTGTATCTTGCAGTTTTCTGTAAAATTGATAATATTTGAGTAAAAAAATTATTGAAGACCAATATTCAGCAATTTTTAGTAATTAATATCTTGTCAACTGTTACAAAAACTGAAAAATGATAGAGGAGTTTTCGACTCAGTTTAGTCCGCTCTATCTACACAAAAGCGGTTGGCAAAACTTACAGGACACTCTATACATTAGCAGAAATTAGTCAGAATTAGAAAAAAGATAAAAAGTAAATTAAATCCAGATTAGAATTAATTTACAGTGATAAAAATGGATAAAAGACCCATCTGATTTCACTAATGATTTAAATCTTTATTATAATCTTGATTTAATTTACTTTTTATTTTTTCTAATTCTAAGAAGAGATAAATAGTAAGTTAAATCGAAATTAAAGTTAATCTTAAAGTTAATGGAACTAAGACGTAAAAGGTTGCACCAACGTTACTTTGAATTATAAATAAGTAATTAAAACTCTTTCTGTCTCTGTCTCTTTTTGGCTTTAAAACGAGATAGATAGAGTTTTAAGTCTCACTTAAAATCAAAGTGACATTGATGCAACTATGTGACAAAGCTTGGATAAAGAACGCGAAATCCACTCGCGGCAGCAGGATGAGAAGAGTCTCGAGGAGTCCGAGGACGTACGAGCGACGCGTTCGGCTTCTCCTATGCCGTGGTGCGTTTCTTGTTCCTCCTTGCTTCTCCAACCCGATCCAGAAAGATCCCGCGATTCGTTCGCGGTGACGCGATCAGAGTGTGCGCGCCGAAAGAGAAACGCGAGAATGGGCCGCGGCGGCGAGTCGCGAGCGAGAATACATACAACATACACACACACATAAGTACATACATATATATGTGTAACGTGCGTGCGTAGTGCGTGCATGCGTGCGGCTACGGGACGGAACGAAACGGAACGGAACGAAACGAAGAAGAGACCGTGGCCGCCCGCGGGGGTCGAGAGGCGAGAAAACGGAGAAAAGACACACATACACATACGCACGCACACGCTGTCATGGCGTTAACGTTAACAACGCGTGTCGAGCATACTACGTGCCGTCGGCGACGCTGCCGCGAAGCGAGGTGCCGGTAATACACCGCCGTTCCGCCGCGGAACAGCCCCTGGGTAACGTAACGCGAGAACGACGGCGATCAGATCAGTCGTCGTCCGTCCATCCGTACGGGGGAGAGAAAGAGTGAGTGAGTGAGTAAAGGAAGGGGAAAAGGAGAGAGGAAGAGAGAAAGAGAGAGAAACAGAGAGAGTGAGCAGCGCGAGCGTTGTGTCAGCCGCTCGGCTTCAATCAGCTTCGATTCAGCGCCGAGTCTGTCGTCGTGCTCTCTCGGTCTCTTTTATCTACAGAAAAGGTAACGTGCTCGTGAAATAGTACACGAGAGTTGCGGGCGACCCTACGCTATCAAACTTCTATCTCCGTCGCTGCCGTCAATCGCGAGAAACGAACGCGCCGCCGCCGCTGCCGAGCGCGCGCGAGAAGAAGAGAGAGGACCGCTCCTCTCACTGCCTCTCTCTCTTTAGTAGAGTGCGAGTGCACTTAACCTAAAATCTAGAATCCTGCTTCGTCGTTTCTCTCGTTGCCGTCTCTCCTGCGGTTTCTCGTGGATCCCTCGTCGTCGTCCGGTTTGGCGAAGCGGCACGGCGAAGCGAACGCCGGAGGTGCGACGCGACGTCTCGTATCGCATCGCATCCTATCGCATCCCATCGCGTCCCATCGCATCGCATCGATCGGCTCGACGACGATCGAGTCGATCGCGAGAGCGCGACGGACCTGAGGAGTCATCGAGTCACGGCGATTCGAGCATCGCCCTCGTCGCTGCTGCTCTATCGCGCGGTGCTAACCCATCATCCCTGTCGCCTTCTCTTAACTCCAGTGATCGCGTTCGGCGTAAACGCGCGCGAATGTAGGCCGGTGATACTTCGGTGAACTCCCGAACGATTCACTCCGATACCCCTGTGATCCTTTATGCTTCCGTTCATTTACCGAGTCTTTCAACCTCCTTCCAATTAAAGGTAATACTCTTTCTCCCATAAGACTCTCTTTCTCTTATTCTTCTCTGGTTGCCAATTGGCAAAGTTGATGATAATGATGATTGTGATCTTTGTGATTTTTGGAGCAGGAATGTCTATCTGAGTGGACTACAGATAAGGAAGTCCGCGGTGGACAATGCAACAATCCAGAGGCCAGTGTCTTTAGTGATAGCTGTACAGTTACGGAACCTGCAAAAGAGTGTATGGTGTGCATTCCTTATTTGCGTCATCTGCCACCGCGATTGTGTGGACAGCTTCTCCCTAAAGGCTATATCATCGCTTTCTGTGGAGTTTCACTGTTGTGTGTTCTGTGAAATCCCATCAGACTGGTGATGGTGATATGTCATTATAAAATGATCCACGTCCGATCAAGAACCAACACTGAGCTTCGTGGTGGAGAAATAGGACATGCTCGATGAAAAACATGCCTAAGTAGAGGAACACATGTTCTGGGAATTGATGGGTATATGCTTTTCCTGCAGGAGACCCACCAGCGGCAGGTTGAACAGTAAAATCTCTGAGCATATCTCGGCCTCTGTAACTCCTCTCCATGTTTGTCTGGAGGAACAAAGAAGACCAGAACTGGGCTCATGTGACGCCTCACAAGCTCACAAGCCTCAGGTGAACCTGCGTTTATATTTTAATTCCTCAAATGTGTGTAGCATGCTATTAAAATTATAATTAAAATTTTTATTCTATTTTATTATTTGCAATTCTGACAACAGGTTAAAAGAACCTTTGAGAATCAAAAGGCAGAAGAAGAGATTCCCGAGGAGGTGGCGGAAAGTGATTCGATCGAAGTCGAAGCAGGAGAGTTAAGACAAAGCCAGCCGAGTATGGCCAATACTATCAGCAACATGAAGATGACTAATCCCATAAAGGGGCTGGTTAGCAAACGCCGCAAACGTTTCACAGAAGATGGTTTTAATCTTGATCTCACATGTATCCTTGTCTTATTGTTTTGCACATATCAACAATTAGAAATAATTAAACATTAGAATATCATGCATTGTACATACTCTATTTACATTAACAATGTAAATATAATATGCACAATACATAGTATTCTGTGTATTTTAATACAATGAACCAATTGATTTGGATAAATTCCTTAGCGAGTGTTATGACATTAGATATAAAAGCGAATTTAATAGCGATGGGTTTTCCTGCTGAGAAACTGGAAGGAGTGTATAGAAATCATATTGATGACGTTGTTAAACTACTGGAATCGAAGCATAAAGATCATTATAAAATTTATAATCTGTAAGTGAAAAGATTTAACCTTAAAACGTTTCTTTTACAACAAATGACTGGTATATATCATTGTGATAATATTTTAGGTGTTCTGAGAGATCGTATGATTGTAAAAAGTTCAAGCAGAGAGTAGCTACTTATGCATTTGATGATCACAATCCACCAAAGCTGGAGCAGATTAAGCCTTTCTGCGAGGACGTGCAGTCGTGGTTATCCCAAGATAAGGACAATGTGGCCGCAGTTCATTGCAAGGCGGGCAAAGGTCGGACGGGTGTAATGGTGTGCTGCTATTTACTTCACAGCAAACAGTTTCCCACTGCCACGGAAGCCCTTAATTATTATGGAACTAAACGGACTCATGATAGGTAAGCATTACAGAAGATTTAAGGATTTAGCATATAATGTCTCGATGATTGAGAATTATCTTATTTATTCGACTTTATTATGATCTAGGAAAGGCGTAACGATACCATCGCAGAGAAGGTATGTGGATTATTATGCTACTCTCCTCCAAGAAGGTATCAGTTATGAACCAGTGACATTATTACTGCGTAAAATACAACTGGATCCGGCTCCTATTTTCAATGGAGGTCAAGGCTGTAAGTACTAGTATAAAAGTTATGTATGGATTATCGTTAACGGGAATTTATTTTACTAATTTTTTAAGAAATAAAATATATCTTTCTCTCTTTAATTTTGTAATATTTTTCTATGCAACTTTTTATTTGTACTATATTATATTTCTCTGCATTTCATGTTTTTAGGTCTGCATTTTGTAATCTCGGAATCAAATAAAAGGATATTTTCTGATGATTATGAGGTTCGGAAAGGTACATCTTCTATATGCATCTCACTGCAACACACTGTCGCTCTAACGGGAGATATACGGGTGGAGTTCTATAATTATAAGCCAAAAATGAAACGAAAGGTACATATTGCAATATTTATGTTAACTTATTTGGCACGACAGAGATCAATGAACTGTGTTTTACTGTATTTTCCAGGAAAAGATGTTTCATTTTTGGTTTAACACATTTTTCGTCCGTGAGAAAACGAATTCCGAGTGCGACAATGGCGATTTACATGAAAGATCGGCGAGAGCATTTAGCTGCGACGGCACAGCCATGGAATTGCCGATGGTTATGTCGCATCTGAAACCTAGAACTGGATCATTGGCGAGTCTCGGTCCTATGCCGCCCACTCTCGTTTTACGGATAGATAAGTCAGGATTGGATAAAGTACACAAGGATAAAAATCACAAACTATACAGTCCGGATTTTAAAGTTAGTTTCTTTTCGTACTCGCAAATTATAATTAAAAAAAGTAGAAAGAAGTAGAATGTATATCGGATATTAAACATTCAGCATTAAATATTTGCTACTTACAGCTAGAATGCAAATTCCGAAAATGTACAGTGTATACAATCAGTATATATCAATGTATTAATGTATCTCTCAATTCCAAATTCCATACTTCGCATTAAATATTTTGTTAGTCAAATTTTTTCGAATTAAAGCAATTAAATATACATCTATTTAAATTCGAATAATAAAATCTTATCAAGCGCAGGATACAATGGTCGATTATTCGCAATCTTTTTTAATTGCAGGTGAGTCTATTTATGCATAGCGTGGGTGGGAACATATCGCCAGCTGTGCCAGCGACGACGAACAGAGGTAGCGATGGTGTGCAGCTGGGGATGGGTGGTCAGGAGACACCGAGCGAGTCGAGCGAGGCAGACAGCAGCGAGTGTGACACTACCGGTGACGAGGACGGTTGGGAATCCGGTGAGTCCTCTGCATCCCTGGTGGTGAACCACCAACACCACCACCCTCTTACACACAGCAGTAGCCGTACACATGTTAGCAGTCTCCGTCCGCGATGCAGTCTTAAGGAGACTGCCAAGGGTCTGCTGTCGCGCGGCGACAAGAATCGGAACAGTAACAGGCAGGGTGTCTCCGGTGCGAGCGTGAAACGTTCATCCGCACCGTTCGCTCGCTCAGCCACTCTCGACACGTAGTAGCTTAACAAACGCTTTCGGTACTTAAAAACGGTCGGCGGTATTTCGCACTATAACGCGTTTCGCGCTTTCACGAAATCGCGTGTCTCGCAAAGTCGCGACGTGCGCGTCCTGTTTTTCTTTTGGTTTTTTTTTTCTTTGTGGACGCGCATTGGACGGCTTAATACGCGCAAAATAATGACTAGAATCCGGAGAAATCCGTTCTACGACATTTTTTTGCAGTAACCTTCGCTCGTTACGTTTCTCTTTCTCTTTTTGCATTATCGTTTCGTTTTTCACTTTCTCTCTCTCTCTCTCTCTCTCTCTCTCTCTCTCTCTCTTTTACATTTTCTTTTTCTTAGTCGTGGGACCATGAGCTTTATTTTTTTTTCGTATTGACGATTCATGTCTTACCGATTACTATTAACTGGTGGTCGATTCGCCATGTATAATGCTAGCGAAGTAGTTGTTATTGTGAATGTGCACCAAGAGTAAAGTTTCGAGTAAATCGTTTGAGTAAATTTGAGTAAATTGATTGGTTCGCCATGTATAAACCGAGAGAAGTAGCACCGGTATAATTTGATTTTAACAAGGAGATGCACATTCGAAATGTTTACGGTACAGCCTAATTTTGGTTATTTTAACATGATAAAGTTCTAACACAATCTACAAAGAAAAAACGCATATTTTGCCTCCACTACGATTTGTAGTATCGTGTTTTTCGAGATTTTTCGTGCTGTTGAAATGATGGCAAATGGGATGGGCATTTACTTGTTAAAACTTTAAGACACTCTTAAAATAACATAGGTCAAAATTATGAGTAAAATTGAAATAAATTAGTATCAACAGTGATTTGTAATTCAAATATCGATAGGTAATTAAAAAACTATTTTGTATAAAAAAATTATCGGTTTTCTTTTCTAGTTTTTTCTTTTTTCAAATATAGAAATTACTCGTTGTGTATTATCTCGAATATAAAAAAAAAATGAAGAAAATTAATATAGAGTCACAAATTAAATTCTAATAACATTCTGCAATTTAAAATGTATGTCTATATGTAAAATTGTTCTGTTCAAATAGATTTTATTCTTTTTTTTAACAATCTATATTTTTGTTGAAATAGCGCATGTATTTGCGCACAATCGATTTTTTCCGTCTGACAGAACTTTCGGATAAACCAATATCACAGAATGTGCAATATTAGTGTCTATAATGCGATAATGTGTTTTTAAAAAATAACAATATAATTTTTTCTATTTTTAACGCGTAAAATTACGAAGCAACTTGGCACTTGCATTGATAACATTTCCTTCTATTCTCTTTTCTTTCGTATTTATTTAACACGTTTATTTTAAATAATAATAAAAAAACATCTATATATTTTAAATTTAATTGACGGTATATATTTTTTTTTTAGATAAAGCTTGAAATTTCATCCATACTTCTCTTTCGCGGTAAGCTGGTTGTAAAAAAGGAAAATTAGAATAACTCCGTGAGCACGTTAGAATTGAATTGCGTAGAGAACAATCGCGAGTTAAGCCAAACCTTCCGCAAAATGTGGATATACATAGAAAGGAAGAGGAGAAAAACACAGAATATGCGCGTTCAAGCTGTGCGGTGAATCCGAAATTTTTTTTTGGTATCTTCTAAATACAAACAGTTTTGTGAGCTCGCGTCTCCATGCACATCTCATTCGCATCGAAGCACTTTATTTCGTAAAAATAACGTTGCTCGTTGACCATTCATTTTATGATTATAACTACATGGTACACATATACATACATACATGCATCTATACACGCGCGCGTAAACACATGCACATATAAATGCATACGTACATACATATATGTATGTATTTGTATGTATATATGACTGTATATATTTGTGTATGTATATGGCGAAGATATATATGAAGACGTCGAGAGAAATGATAGAAAGATTTACATTTAGAAATGTAATTATATTTATTTAATGTGACATAAATGCGTTAGATTTGTGTGCAGTCTGAAAGATAGTTATTCTATCAAAATTAATCGTGCTATAACACTGGAACAATTTATTTGCCATTGGGGCGATCATAAATAGGACACAAAATAGAGAGAAGCGAAAAAGCAGTGAGAGAACGACGGTAAAATACAGTTTTAAGAAGCGGTGTTAAAACTGATATTTTATCGAAAGTTTCTGGGATTTCTTTTAAATACACGGGCTCAGACGTACGTGAGGGAAAAACCTTCGTTTGTCCGTTTATCGACGACATGGAAGTACAAATACGTAGAAATCAGTCTTTATATACGTCGTGGGATTAAAATAAGCCGCGGGTGCTGTTGATTATTAGATAATGATTTTTATACTCGGTTCGTAATAATGACTCTCTCAGACGAGAACTCGGACTTTATATGAGGAAATACGGCAGATAATGTGAAAGAAAAGAAGAGAAAAAGGAAAATCTGAGGGTAGATTTAAAATCTTTCGATAATTGCTTTTTATTATATATACATATAGAGAGAGGGTTGCGCATTCTTAGATTAAGATATGTACGTAACTGTTGTTGCGTAGAATATATGTATAAAATATAAAGAAACATAAATTATTAGATAAATTATTAGACGGTTGAACACACACACACACACACACACACACACACACACACACACACACACACAAAACATACAACTGGCTTCGGGGTCAAAAACATGTAGTTATTACGTAATTAACTGTCGAAATCTATGATTTTTTTTTCGTTATATTAACTAGACGAAATTATAGATATTAGTAATTCGATTATAATGCGGTAGCATGCAATAGCATTATTAGTATTATGTTGTCGGATTATTTTTTTTTTTTTTTTGTATAAGACTAGACTTGTGATACAGTAAAGTAATTGCGCGTTTTACTTTTCGCACGAAGTCTGACTTTAACTTGGTATATACATATATACCTTATTATAACTCGCAAAGGAAAAGAAAGAAAAAAGTAGGAAATGAAAAGAGTGAGAAGGGTTTCTTTCATGATTTTAATAAGGCGATTATTTCTAATGGTTAGTTAGTAAAAAATGGAACGCACTCCATATGTTCCGTCGTGAATGCGTCGTAAACAGAATTATATTTATTACATAAAATATAAAATCGTTAGTTTAAATAAAAGTAAGATATATAACGATAAAGATTTTTACGAGTGTTTTCTTCGCCTTGTGCTCGTGAAAAATAGATGAATTAGTTTGTCGAATGGCCAGGAATTCGCGAGGTACAATCGCGAGTAAATTTTTCGGAGAAGTGTATTTCCCCCACACTCTCCCCGAAGCTAGAATTAAGTGTTCATCGCACAATTTTGTACATACGTAGCCGATTAATTATATCGATATTTTCTTAAGAACTACTTTTGACAGACTAATTCGATGTAGCACAGTGTAGAAGAGTATACTAGACTTGGCAGTTCCTGTCTATGGTATCTTTGATATCATTAATTCAAAGTCGATTTTTCTTTAATAACAAAAATTTAATAAAAAAAAATTAATTTCCTTTTCGGAAATTAAAGGCGTAATCAAATTCTTATTTAAAACTTTATTTATTATTTATTTTTAAATAGATTTTAACGCAACAGATTTGTAAGTTGGGGACCAGTTACAGATATAAAAAGTAAAATTAAATATAATGTGTTATATCATTATTTAATATTGGAAATTGAAATTTTATGCGAAATTATCTCGTTTAAAATCTTGGCTAAGGGAAAATTTATTTCAAATTAATTGAAGAATCCGTAGACGAACATTTAGCTGGGTCTAGAATACTTTTACGGAGTCTATAAACGCGGAAACGTGACAAGTCCCTTTTTGATTTCTCTCAACATTTTTGTAATCGTAGCATTGAGATTTGTACTTGGACTTTCTGAAAAGCATGGATGTTGAATGTATTATGACTTTGACGAAGAAGTAATTCATTTTTTTCATATCTTTCATATCTTTTTTCGATATCTCGAACGAATATAAGCAAATATCGAAGCCCATTACGTTTTCTTTACTCCTCTTTCTCCGTTATTTTTTTTTAAATTTTATTTTAAACTCCTCATATCATTCTCGTTGCATGTAAATAATTTATACAATTGCGACTACTTGAAGATATTGTTACAATGTTTGAGACATGTGTAAGATCTGTATAAGCAAGATACGTCTGTTTTACTTGTATAATAATTATTTTGTGATACTATTCGTATACTTATATTATTAGCTGTATCGTTGTTATATCATTATTATTAGTAATATTAATGTGTTATTATTAGAAAACGCTACTGCTATCACACACACACACACACACACACACACACACACACACACACACGCACGCACGCACGCACGCACACACACACACACACACACACACACACACACACACACACACACACACACACACATATATCACTATTCTTCAATCAACCTCGAGAACATTTTTACAATTATTACTTAACGTAATTGAGATGTTAACGATTTTTCAAAGTACTACCATGTTTACGAATGTACTACTATGTTTACAAATGTACTTCTGTAATTCGATACTTTTAAGGATTATATATATGCATATATACATTATATACAAATACGTGGTACTATACATTTTGTAACATTTTCTATTTGCAGCGCCTATTTCTGTAGAGAAACATACATATTACTTTTTTCAATCCTATCTCCAATGTTTTTTCTTTACATTTTCAACCATTCTCTTTTCTCTTTCTTTTTCTTCTGAAAGGATCGTGTAATGTTTACGACATCCGTAACTGCAATGATATTATATTTTCAATGCTTGATGCCCTCATGCTCGTTGAGAAAATCGAAGTATATCTATTATAATACATATTTGAATTCAGATTAGATTAATTTTAAAAGGCTTGCGTTCGATTACACTGAATGCGTTATTACATCCGCTTTTATGTGTAGTAATATTACATCCTGATTCGTATCGCAATTGCAAGGAGACTGCCGAAGGAAATTCTGTTTTTAAATCTTGCTTGTGTATATATAATAAAGTTTTTATTTTCTGAAGATTATTGTAATTTAAAAGTTTTTATATCGAACTCTTGATCGAAAAGTTTAATTTAGAGATTGCATTGCCCTATTTCATGTATCTTTTTAAAATAATTTTTTATATGATTAATACTCTGAAAATTGCATCAGAAGCAGTCTTTTTCCAAGTATTCTTTACATGCTCATTTTTATTCTTTATATTGTTTATTGCACTAATTATTAAAACACGATCACGAATTGTATGAACGATGTTGTTCTGTAAAATAGAAAATATTTTGTGACTCAACATTGCACTGTTCTCTGTTTAGTGCATCGTTATTGTTTTGAATATGTTTATACCGTCAGTATATTTATGCATGCCGTCAGAATGTATATTGTTGCAGGTTCATCTATCTTTGTTACGTATTATCATATCATTTATAATTTTTGTAGGACAAGATAATGTTTCTCAAAGTGAAGGTGACGGTAGGAGTGACGAGTCAATTTAACGGACGTAATTTTTCTCTTTACTAATTCACACATAACAATCAATTCATCGAATTATTGCACCATCCGTTTTCCGATATAAGATACTCTCGCATATTTGAAAGATAAATTTCGAGTTTTTAATAATAGAATTCTGACGTGTCTCGCTTTACAATTTGAGAGAAAGAATTAAATGAGATTAGAACGAAAGAAGCACTTTGCCCTCCACCGTCGTTCTTTACATGTAAAATTGTTAAGATAAGCCATTGTGACTATTGACTGACCGATTATGTCTCTGTGTCTGTTCACCCTTAGTGGACTTGGACCAGCGTGTCGGCCGATACCGTCTTCTATCGGATGGAGGGATGATAGATCTTTTGTGAGCCCATCGCCAATCACCCCTAATCATCCTTCGACTTCATTAATATTTAATAAATTTTCAGATACACATATATGTACACAGACACATACATTCACACATGGACACGGACGTTATGCTGTGCATCATAAAATACCTTATCGCGAAGAAACTACGCGTCCACATTTACGTTTAAGTTTTTGTACTTGAGTTAGTATTCGTTTTAGGGTCACGGAGAACAAACCAATGTGATTTTTTTCTATATGAAGAAGGAAAAAATATATTGAGACTAATAGCTTTCTTGTCGTTATAATTTGACGTTGACGATGATTTTACACGATTTACACGAAACAGAGAAGCGTAGAGATTAGGTTTTGCGAATGAATTACTGTTATGAATGTGGAATATGAGAGAGAAAGAGAAAGGAGAGAGAGAGAGAGAGAGAGAGAGAGAGAGAGAATGGAAGAGAAAATGAGCGAGAAAGAGAGCACGAGCAGACCCGAGTAATTGAACGAAAGTATTTATTATCCGTAAGAACCTAATCAAAATTAACGTATTCACAGATTTACTAATAATATACTGTTTATATTAAGCACATTTTACTTGGACTTTTTCTTTCTCTTTTTATTTTCTGTAAGCGATTTGTAAACAACATTGCTCACTTTATTTTGTGCATGGCACTTAATTCTTTTCATATTGGACACATAGACAATTTTTGTCATGTTCGAACAAATTCTCACTTATTCGAATATATCTGAAGAAAATTTATTGGAAAATATCTTAAAATTATAAGACGTCTTATACATAAATACAAACATTTTATATATACTTATTATTAATATATCTTAAATACTTATTTTCTAAAAAATTAAATTTTCGATTAATTTTAAATAATTAATTAGACTTAATTAGACTATGTCTAGATATAATTGGTACTAATGCAAAATATGTCGGTTAATCAATTTTCCTCGCTAAAATTTTATTCTCTGACTAACCTGACTACCTATTGAATGCAGATCCATCGAATTGTGCTGAAAATTGTCTATGCATGTAAAAGCTTAAGAAATTGGCGAAATTTCTTTAAGTGAAGCTTTTAAGGCTAAACATACATTTGATTCTTACATTTGTCATAAGTGAGCTTGTAAATTCTTGGACATTAAATTGATGATGGACGCGTATTTGTAATATTATTTTCGTCTAAATGAGAGAATTAGATCTTTTCTAAGCATTCAAATATTCGAGAAATACTTCATGAAGCTGTCCTGTTTTGTGTATACTTGTGTATACTACTTATCGAACGAAACAAAATGCGAGAATAGAGAACTTCCAAGCTCAATATATTAACGATATATGTATTTTATAATTTATCCTTCACTTTTTCCGCTTGCAAACCTGTGATTAATGGTTTTTTTTTAATTAAAAAAGAAAGATAAGAATAAGTATACAGCCAAATTTCAAAACGACAGACGTAGAAACATTGTGTCTGTTAGGTAGAGGAAGTATGGTCGAAAACAAATGAACGGGCTATATATACATATGGCGTAGCAGAAGTGCATGTTTATATGAACTATATATGGACTGAGATGAAAGAAAAGAAAATGAGAAAATAATGCTGTAAAAAAACGAATATTTTCATAAGAATAAATATCGTAAGTCAATAATAATAACGTCTAGAGAGAATATTGTATGGAATGCAACCGCCATCGTGATTTCTTCGCTGAAAGAACCGATTCTCACCGTATATATCCTTGCGAGTCTCTCGTGATTCGTACGCTTGTAATCGAACAAGATTCGCAGGGGATTTGTTGTGCTGATAGAGCTCAATATTGACTGGTAATGCGCGTTTGAGAGATCGAAAATCTTCTTTGATTTTTATTTACATCAATTGTAAAAGCAGGATGCTCCAGATTCTCTCCTTTGGTTGCTCCAGGAATTTAGACCCGATTTTTATGCAACAAAAATTATCGGATTTTTCGCATGGCTTTTCTAATTTTTAAGAGTAAGTAAAGTGGAGGTCCTTTAAAATTAATTGGGAAATCAATTTATTCGTACGTTATTTTGATAGATTTGATTTGATAGATTTTCCTCTTGAAGATCAATTTGTCGCAATTTTTTTTTAATATTAAAAGTAATTATATTTTTTTAAGTTCGTAAATAAGATATTTAATTTATCAAGAAACTTGTAGCTGAGAGATATAGCTGATCACGATATTTTTTAGACATCCTGCATCTAATTCTAATATTTCACAAAATGATTTTGTAGAAAGGCTCATTATTTTGCTTGATACTTTTCTAATGTTATATAATAAATTCTAATGTTATATAATAATAGAAAGGCGAAAGATGATCGATTCTCAAATTCTTCATCTCATATGCGATATCTTTTCGACGTAAATTTTCAGCACGATTCATCGTGCGCAAGAGTGTACAAAAAGAAAAAAATATATTACCCTTCAAATATTCTTTCCACTTAATATTCAGCACTATTTCAGCATACAAAGTGCTTAATAAGTATAGTAGGTACATTCAAGGATTTCCCATTGTGGATTCTTTGTGGATATCCTTGCGTGTATAATGAGTTCATACAGAGAGCTTACGCCGACTCGACATCCTGAACTTCTTTCCGGTGCGATCCGTTATCCTTGGTCCGTTGCATTGTCTTATGTTGCATCGATAGAGCATTCTAGTAACGCGCGCGTATAGTTAGGATTACATTCTAACACTATGAAACACACACTGCGAAACCACCTGTCGTGTCTCAGAAAAAAAATTTCACCGCACCTCTTTATGAATGCTGACTTTAATAAATTTCTTCTGAGAATTTTATGCGTGCGTGCGTGCGTGTGTGCGTGCGTGCGCGTGCATGCGTGTGTGTG